AAATAAAACCTGAACAAGCAAGGTGGTGAAGGGGTGGATGGTGGGGACAAAAACAGACAGTGCTGATACTGAGACTGCTTAAAATGGCTGAAGACAATATCAATAGGGCTATCCCTATAGGCTGAATGACCATTGGTCAACCAGGTCACGTGACAAACTGTACACCTTACCAAATATGGTAGCGTAGATGATAGTAAATATTGTGTACAAACAATTATTTAGGTAAACCCAAATAAACATTTTATACACAACAAAACAAAGAATTAAAGTTCAAAAATTTATTGAGTCTAAATTTAAAGTAACTTGTTCAGGTTATATTAGTTATCTTTTGGCATTCTTAGGGGCTGCTCTCTGTTACTTAAACTAACTACAACATAGTTGGTTACAAACATATCTATTTACAGCAACAGGAAATTAAAAACAACACACTTAACTTAAAAGAAGAGTGGGGCGATCCCCGGCTTGAGCGATCTCAAGCTGGTGACTAGAATAAGTTGTGGGGTGATCCCCAGGGCTTGAGCGATCCCAAGCTGTGGAGCGAGTAGCTAACAGGCGGCCCTGCAAACAGGCATCGAGCGACCCCGGTGCCTGAGTGTTCAGAGTATAAGTAAGAAACATGGTTTACAGGGCGATCCCCAACAGGCACTTACACAGTTATACTCTGACTAGCTAAGCACGCCCTAAGTCACCTACCCTAAAACTATGTTAGATTATCAAAAAGCAAACCAGGATTAAGAAATGTACGTGACTTAAAGGGGGTGCTCCCCGGCAGGCACACAAACTGGTTATGATTGCAAAAATAAAAATACAACAACAAGCATATAATGAATTGGGGGTATAATTCCCGAATTACATGTCCAATCGAACGAAGGTTACAGATACAAATGTAAATGTGAAGTAACAGAGCGAGAGCCCCCATACTCACCGTTATTGATCAGGAAAATATATCACATTCATCAATATATTTCTCAGTTGTAATATACTAGTCTTTACTTGTGAAGAGTTGTATTGATGTGGTGCTGGACTTCACATATGGGATATGCAGGGGTTAGTGTAGCGTGATGTACTGAGACGCCTTTCTCTGTAGAAGAATCGTCACATTTATTATTCAGTTTCTTCTAACATTATTGCGATGTAGAACGAGATGCTTACTCGGGAATCTGGAATCTTTCCACATGCCAGAAATCAATGGTGTTCACTGATATATACAGAAAAAGAGTTGTTTATATGTAACGTATACAGTTACTATAGACACACTTGTTGTGCATTCTTGATCATGATCATGACAAAACCCTGTTTATGCTATACTCAAAGACAGGAAATTTACTGTGTGGGTTTACAGATTTTTTATAAATATATAGAGACAATGAAATTCATTGTGAGAGGATGAAGTTACAAGAGTAAAATGAAACTAACTTGCAGTGTTTTTTTCTTCCTGAATTACAACAGCCTCTTCCTACAGGAATCGGTTAAATATAGCATTTTTTTTTTTTATCAAAATTGGGAAGATATATCACCTCAATTTTTCCTAATTTAAGGAAAATACAGTATTATTTTGCAAGGGGTCTACGTAGCATCTTATAGTTGGCTGTAAAAAATACACAAAAAAACACCTGAAGTCTGAGTGTTGACAAGATATAAAGCCAAATGCTCTCTATTCTCTTACTGACGTTTGTACAAGAGATGGGACACATATTTCTGTTTGATCAGTTGCACCAGAAAAAAATGCATGTTTTGAGAGATAATGTCTGAATATGAAATTGAACTTTGAGACACAATTGACTAATGTACAGTTACTTTGACAATTGATTTTGAGTCCGCGCCTGTGAGCGTGTGACATTTGTGTTTCTGAAATCAATATAAACTGCCTGTATGAGACTTGTCACTACTTGTATCATATGGTCTTAGACATCTTTGATGTGAACAATTATCTGATGTAAACATCAATTTGTCTTTTGTCCAGGGAAACAAATATGTTAAAAGGTTGTTCTGTGTTAGCATATTTGTATGATCCCTATAGCTAGTTGTGAACATACAATACTGATAAAATACATGTTTACCAACTTAACATTAGTACTGTATACATGTAGACATGTATACTGTATACAGGGTATCATTAGTACTGTATACATGATGTGTATACTGTATACAGGGTAACATTAGAGCTGTACACAGACAGATGTGTGTACTGTATACAGGGTAACATTAGTACTGTACACAAACAGATGTGTATACTGTATACAGGGTAACATTAGTGTTGTATACAGTGTAACATTAGTGCTGTACACACACAGATGTGTGTACTGTATACAGGGTAACATTAGTACTGTAAACAGTGTAACATTAGTGCTGTACACAAACAGATGTGTATACTGTATACAGGGTAACATAAGTGTTGTATACAGTGTAACATTAGTGCTGTACACACACAGATGTGTGTACTGTATACAGGGTAACATTGGATATGTATACATACAATTGTGTATACTGTATACAGTGTAACATTAGAGCTGTATACAGTGTAACACTAGTGCTGAACACACACAGATGTGTGTACTGTATACAGGGTAACATTAGTACTGTAAACAGTGTAACACTAGTGCTGAACACACACAGATGTGTGTACTGTATACAGGGTAACATTAGTACTGTAAACAGTGTAACACTAGTGCTGAACACACACAGATGTGTGTACTGTATACAGGGTAACATTAGTACTGTAAACAGTGTAACACTAGTGCTGAACACACACAGATGTGTGTACTGTATACAGGGTAACATTAGTACTGTAAACAGTGTAACACTAGTGCTGAACACACACAGATGTGTGTACTGTATACAGGGTAACATTAGTACTGTAAACAGTGTAACACTAGTGCTGAACACACACAGATGTGTGTACTGTATACAGGGTAACATTAGTACTGTAAACAGTGTAACACTAGTGCTGAACACACACAGATGTGTGTACTGTATACAGGGTAACATTAGTACTGTAAACAGTGTAACACTAGTGCTGAACACACACAGATGTGTGTACTGTATACAGGGTAACATTGGATATGTATACATACAATTGTGTATACTGTATACAGTGTAACATTAGAGCTGTACACAGACAGATGTGTATACTGTATACAGGGTAACATTAGTGCTGTATACAGTGTAACACTAGTGCTGTACACACACAGATGTGTGTACTGTATACAGGGTAACATTTGATATGTATACATACAATTGTGTATACTGTATACAGTGTAACATTAGAGCTGTACACAGACAGATGTGTATACTGTATACAGGGTAACATTAGTGCTGTATACAGTGTAACACTAGTGCTGTACACACACAGATGTGTGTACTGTATACAGGGTAACATTAGTACTGTAAACAGTGTAACACTAGTGCTGAACACACACAGATGTGTGTACTGTATACAGGGTAACATTGGATATGTATACATACAATTGTGTATACTGTATACAGTGTACCATTAGAGCTGTACACAGACAGATGTGTATACATATACAGGGTAACATTAGTACTGTATACAGTGTAACATTAGTGCTGTACACACACAGATGTGTGTACTGTATACAGTGTAACATTATAGTGCTGTACTCACAGAGATGTGTATACTGTATACAGTGTAACATCAGTACTATATACAGAGTAACATTAGTACTGCATACAGTGTAACATTAGTACTGTATACAGAGTAACATTAGCGCTGTATACAGTGTAACACTAGTGCTGTACACACACAGATGTGTGCACAAATGTGTGTACTGTATACAGGGTAACATTAGTGCTGTACACACACAGATGTGTATACTGTATACAGAGTAACATTAGTACTGTATACAGTGTAACATTAGTACTGTACCCACACAGATGTGTATACTGTAAACAGTGTAACATTAGTACTGTATAGATACAGATGTTTATACTGTAAACAGGGTAACATTAGTGCTGTACACAAAGAGATGTGTATACTGTATACAGTGTAACATTATAGTACTGTATACAGTGTAACATTATAGTACTGTATACAGTGTAACATTTGCACTGTATACAGTGTAACATTAGTACTGTATACAGAGTAACATTAGTACTGTATACAGAGTAGCATTAGTACTGTATACAGGGTAACATTAGTACTGTATACAGTGTAACATTAGTACTGTATATAGTATAACATTAGTACTGTATACAGGGTAACATTAGTACTGTATACAGTGTAACATTAGTACTGTATACAGTGTAACATTAGTACTGTATACAGAGTAGCATTAGCACTGTATACAGAGTAACATTAGCACTGTATACAGTGTAACATTAGTACTGTATACATACAGATGTGTATACTATATACAGAGTAACATTAGTACTGTATACAGAGTAGCATTAGCACTGTATACAGAGTAACATTAGCACTGTATACAGTGTTACATTAGTACTGTATACATACAGATGTGTATACTATATACAGAGTAACATTAGCACTGTATACAGTGTAACCTTAGAGCTGTTAAAAATGTCTTGCTCTCTACATCTGAGAATACAATTGTGTACTTATTGACAGGGGAGTAGTACTTTAATCTTTAAAGGCTAAGAAATATAAAATAGTATTTTAACAGGAAGGATTTCATAGTTTAAGTTCCTTACTGTATACATATATAGATGTTCATTAGCTTGTAATGTATGATTTTCACATGCAATTATCAATGTATATTTAACTCTCATTTCAGGGCAAAAATGGCTTGAAACATCGGGAAATAAATGGCAATGTAAAAAATGGAATTGTTAAAAATGAAAACCTGAGCAAGGATGAGCATCAATTAACCACAGACTATTCTGATGAAGTAAGTTATATACTAGGTACATATATAGAAAGCACAGCACTGAGAGTTCCATGCTTCGTAGCTATATATAGGTTATAGTATAAATTAAGTTTAAATAGGTAACTGTGACTTTAATTTCAAGGTCAAGGGTTAAATAAGTGCAAAACTTTGAAGTTAATCATCCTAAGATCTTGTACAGCACACTGTAATAAGGTCACTGTGACCATTTTTAACAGAATGATGGTCTCTCTTAATCTTTTTATTATTGCATGTACAACACTTTAATTTGCAACAAAAGAACCGTGCAATTTGCTAGAAAACTCAAAGTTTTTGTTGTGTACAGTGTATGTGCAAGATAACTAAATAGATGGATGAAGAAATTGAGCTTTGTACACAAATTATACACATATTGTCTTGTTTTTACAGATGGAGAAGTTGGTGGACTGGGACAAGCCCATGATAGCTCAAGTCGCCGACCTGGGTGACCGGTATTTTGAGTGGGTCCATTACCCTGAGGACAAGCACCTCCGCCTTTTCAAATCAGACTTCGTCGAGTATTTTTCTATGTGTCCGTGGTATGTGGTGCCCATTTACTGGGTGCCCGTGTTGTTTTTATTCCTCATCAAGTCCTACCACCTCCTGTCCGAGGCCCCGTGTATATTCCCAGACTCTCAATATGGTTAGTACTTCGTATTATAAATTAAACATAAAACTGTGTGACCGCTAGAATAGCTAAACTCACTTACTACTGCTATAACTTTAGCATACAACTGTATTCCTGTCTGCTCTTGACAGCTTTACTATTAAAAGTTCATGTTCGATAAATTATTTTCTTTTTTAAACATTGAACCACAACTTATTAAAATGGAGAAGTTCCAAGTTTTTCATTGTGCTTGTGTTTTTACCCCCCAGGTATAGAAGTAACACCGAGGTACATGCCTCTCATATTTATGCTGGGATTGATCAGTTGGACGTTGGACGAGTATGTTATTCATCGGTGGATGTTCCATCTCCGTCCGCCCAGCGATTCCCGTCTGTTAGTCACGATACATTTCCTGCTGCATGGCCAGCACCATAAGGTGGGTATATGATCGGAAACCTTCCCACAAAAATGTAGCGCTACGTTTTTTTTTCTTTGCTCATTGCTCAGAAGAACTTTTGTAAGTTTAAAACTTTTTTGAGTTTTGATTCTACAATGCATTGCCAATTTCAAATTGATGTGTTTCTGACATGATTTTGATTTTACTTGTAGCTTCAGTTGTTTATATACATGTACATGATTTATAGTTTGTCCATAGGAAATACAAGAGGGTATGTTATTGTAAAGATTTGATAAAAACAAAGTATATCAAAATAATATGAGAAAGATAATTTATTACATATTGATGTGAAATATGGATATTCTACCACAGGGTTCATAAGTAAGGAACTTGGCCGCGAAATATGGATATTCTACCACAGGGTTCATAAGTAAGGAACTTGGCCGCAAAATCAAAGTATGACCCCCCCCACCCAGTGGACTATCCACCATCTGTACGTATCTGTTTTTAATGCCAGCTTGACTGTTGTTTGTTGTAGACCCCTCTAGACAAGAAGCGTCTGGTGTTTCCTCCGGTGCCAGCCACTGTGCTGGGAATCACGCTGTACTCCATCTATGCAACAGTAGTGCCACATGCCATCACGTTGTCATTTGCGGCGGGCACGGTGACGGGCTACATCGTGTATGACCTGACACACTACTTCCTTCATCATGGGCGACCAACAATGCCTTACTTCAAATCACTCAAGAAATACCATGTAAAACATCATTTTGAAAATCAACAGCTAGGTAAGTGTACTACAAGCTACGTATCGGGCAGTTTGGGCATTCTCTATTATTCAAGGTTACAGGGGTCAAATATGTTAAAAACTTCAAACAACAATATCCTAAGAACAATTTGGACTAGAGCCATGATACTTGGGTATATTATGTACACCAGCAATGCAAACCTTTTTCTTGATTACAGTAATAAGGTCAAAGGTCAACTTTAATTGCTAGCTTGGGTCAAAGGTCAACGTGGGTTAAAAGCTTTAAAATTAAAAATTCAAATTTCAAACAACAATATCTAAAAAACCATTTAAGAGATGTTAAATTGTCTTGTGTTCTAGTAACCAAGTTTTCAAGTTCTCTTTTCTATAATTTATACAAGTATTATTTCAACATATTAGGTGAAATCATTAAACATAATGAATATATTTCAATGTGACATGGCTTTTCAAATTACTTTACGAAATAGGAAACATACTAGGTTATTGATATGTTTGAGTATACATTTAGCATTCATGTTAGGAGTATCAGTATAAAGAAGAATGATTTTTCTGTTTTTCTGCAGGATTTGGAATATCATCTAAGTTATGGGATTATCCGTTTGGCACCTTAATTCCGGATTGTTAAGATGATGCATGTGTACTTAGGCGCCTTCAGCCCTAGAGTTACCTCCCCATGGTTGGGTTATGATGATACTGTAGGAGCCACGGTCAATCCTGGAGTCGCTGCCCCTCCCAGGGGGGCTAGACAGTCTGGATGGTCGGACTAAACATTCTGCTGATACAGATCAATCAATGTGCCGCATCACTCTCACAGGATGTAGCTATTTCCTCTGACGTGCCTACCACACTTCCGCCTAGGGAAGGTGTATATGCTTATGTTGTGCAGATCTTTCTTTTTTCTCACAAACAGATCTGAAATGTTATATTAATTCAGGAGATAAAAATGCTATCTTTTGCTATACATATATATTTTTGTTTCATGAAAATAGCATATTACCCCCTAGAATGTTACCTACTGTCCTGTTTCTGGAAAGTTTTTGGACTAAGAAAGTTACGTATTACGTATGACAGGGTCTGTGGAAAATTATCCATAGCCTTGGGTCTGGAATGTTACGATTGGATTTGACCCTGAAAGTTATTCAAGAAATAGCCCTAGAAATACCGTCTGTCTTTGGCCTGGAAAGTTATTGAAGACCTTGACCTTGGAAAAAGACCTAAGGCCTTGATCTTTTATATCTCTGTAAGCTAGTTGATATTGGATTCTATTTATAATCAAATCAAACCTCATTGAATATTATTAATATGCATTTTTTGTGAGTGCAGATTTTTTTTATATTTTTTTGTTTATCATCTTTTCTCATGTTGAAAATTCAAAATATTTTGTGACAAACTATTTAAGTTTGGTTGAATTCCATGGAATTATCTAATAAATATTCCAGAAATACTGCATTTTTATTGTACTGGACATTATTTCAGGAATAAGTTTTGAGGGTTGTGTAGCCTGCTCATTGTACGTGAGTGAATCCCGTGGCCAGGTTGGAGGTTGTAGGATATTACATTACTTATGACACTATGTGTTAGTGACTACAGGGTCGGGAGGTCCTTCAGATCCCGGTCAAGGTCATCTGAGTCAAGGTCTTAGCGTCTGCCCAGGTGTAAAGGTCAAAGTTGTAAAGGTCAAAGAGCGTACCAATTTTTAGCAACAAAAAAAAAGGTGTATTTGTTTGTAATTTTAGATATTTTCATAACCATTTGTTGCTTCATTACTGATAAATAATGTTGTGCTGTATTTATTTGTAAGTTTATACCAGTAGCATCACACATGGTATTAATTTAAGTTAATGTAGGAGATACACTGGCCAAACACTTTGTAAACTGTACTAGGAAAACACTAACAAAGGTTCTGTTTTGTTATACAAAAATCGCTTTCAGTGTGTTTCATATAGATCTGAATATATGATTTGACATTTGTGTTCCCAATTAGAACATGCCATTCATACTTAACAACCCACACACATTTTTTTTTATTACACCTTAAAGTGTAATATAGTCTTAGATCCTAGGTTGTTGGAATAATATAGATCTGTTTATCCACCAGTTGAGTGTTACACCTTCTATATAACTCATTAACTGACCGAACCTGACCACAAACTGGGGTACATATTGGACAGCAGGACTGTGAATGAATGAGGTTTGAAGAGCTGTTTCAGATTAACTTACTAGGGTTGATATGAATGTTTTTTTTTCTGTTTTTGTTGCAGATGTTTTGTTGTTGGTAAAGGTGGGAGAACTGTCGGTAATAACTCTTTATCTTACACTAAGCAGAATGATCTTGTGGAGGGGAAATGCCACTATATTGCTTCAAAGAGCTTAATACTTACCATAAGGAGTGTTTTCTGATGCTAGTATTCAAACAGAATTCAGTAAAAATGAAATGATACTTCATGTTGATAAATGGCAGAAGTTTTTTGGTTTTAGATGTAAATAGTGTATATTTTCTATCTATATGTGGGATTTACATGTGCTACACAACAATTAATGTTCATAGGTTGTAAGCGTATTCTCTGTTCGTATAGAGGATTTAAAATTGCTGTACACTACAAAATTCACTTTCGGCCCCTTTTGGGCCTAGAAACAATATTTTTATCAAGTATTTTGGAATGGACTGTATTTTCTTGTTACGCAAGCTAACAGATGTAACTGTACAACATTACATACTAATTATAACTCAATTATTTATCACAACATCTCAGGCAAGGCTGTTAACCCTCTAATGGAAAGCAAGATTGAATGAAATCACTATTGATACAGTTTTGACATACTGAATTTGCTTACCTATTGTCCAAAAGATGCTAGCTTTAATATGCCATATAAATATCTCATGTTTTATCAAAGTTGAACATCCAGCTACTTCCAAAGAGTTGTTACTGTAATTCAGTATACAACAAGTTTACCCTATGAAGGTTTGAGCAAGACTAAAACGATTAACATTTAGATGAATGAATTTCGCTGTATACTATAAACATACATGTATTAGTGTGTAGTGTTAATAGAACATTAACTGGTGGTTTCTAAAGAAATCATTTCAAATGAGTTTCACTGTTTATGATTTCTATAAAACAACCTTTAGCAATATCAAAGTTTTACTTCATAAACAAACAATATTAATGTACATATTTAACATCTCGTACATTTCAAGACTGACTGGTCCCTTTGTCAAGCTAATTGACAAAAGGGACCAGTCGGTCTTGAAACTTTGCGACACGTTTAATACAAACGTTGTTTGTTTATAAAGTAAAAATTTGATAATACATATTCCAAAACTGATAAATCATATTGAAAACCTGAAGCAAATTCATAAAATTCAGATATGTTGGTTACAAGTTTGAGATCAATTTTACCATATGGCATATTTCATTGCACATTGTTTTGATATTTGGACAGAAGAACTAAATAGAGAAAATATTACACGGTTATTTTGTGACGTCATTAGTTTATCGATGGTGTTACAACACTACAGAACTGCCTGAGTATATTGTAAAAAGGAAAACATATTTCATTTTTCAATAACATGACAAGAAAAATTGTACAACAAAACTAACTAAAACTAAACATGAGAATTTACTGCTATAATAAATAGACATTCATACTTTATAACTGATTACAACAATGTTTTATGTGAACACAAATTGTATAATGTGTATACTTAAAAATGTTCTGTAGTCATTTTGATTTTCAATTTATTGACAATATTACCGGTAAGATTAATATGTGCAAAATTTGTGAAATATAAGTACTAGTGATGCATAATAGACAAAGATATTCATAGAGTACGTGTGCAATTGTTTATGTGTGAAGATACATTGTACTTACAGGTGTGTGAAGATACATACAGGTGTGTTCAATTACTTACTAGTGTGTGCAGATACATACAGGTGTGTATTAGGTATTTGTGAAGATACATACAAGTGTGTATTAGGTATTTGTGAAGATACATACAGGTGTGTATTAGGTATTTGTGAAGATACATACGTATAGAGGTACATACGGGTGGCTTTATAGAGGTACACAGGTGTACATTTGAGTGCATTAGAGCATATGTGCATCCATATTTGTGTATATATTGAATTATATACATATTTGTGTATATATTGAAGTATATACATATTTGTGTATATATTGAAGTATATACATATTTGTGTTTACATATATGCAGGCACGTGCCACAGAGAATTTCTCATGTGTAATGTATTTTCAAGTATAAGTAGAGATTTCTCTCAGTGTACATGTATTTACAGGCTGTAGAGATTTCTCTCAGTATACATGTATTTACAGGCTGTAGAGATTTCTCTCAGTATACATGTATTTACAGGCTGTAGAGATTTCTCTCAGTGTACATGTATTTACAGGCCGAGAGATTTCTCTCAGTGAACATGTTTTTACAGGCTGTAGAGATTTCTGTCAGTGTACATGTATCTACAGGCTGAAGAGATTTCTCTCAGTGTACATGTATTTACAGGCTGTATAGATTTCTCTCAGTATACATGTATTTACAGGCTGTAGAGATTTCTCTCAGTATACATGTATTTACAGGCTGTAGAGATTTCTCTCAGTATACATGTATTTACAGGCCGAGAGATTTCTCTCGGTGTACTTGTTTTTACAGGCTGTAGAGATTTCCCCCATTCTACATGTATTTACAGGCTGTAGAGTTTTCCCCCATTCTGTATGTATTTACAGGCTGTAGAGATTTCTCTAAGTGTACATGTATTTACAGGCTGTAGAGGTTTCTCTCGGGGTACATGTATTTACAGGTTGTAGAGATTTTCCCCATTCTACATGTATTTACAGGCTGTAGAGATTTCCCCCATTCTGCATGTATTTACAGGCTGTAGAGATTTCTCTCAGTGTACATGTATTTACAGGCTGTAGAGATTTCTCTCGGTGTACATGTATTTACAGGTTGTAGAGATTTCCCCCATTCTACATGTATTTACAGGCTGTAGAGATTTCCCCCATTCTACATGTATTTACAGGCTGTAGAGATATATATGTACAGCGGTTATACAGGAGTACAGCTGGTGTTTTCTTCTCTACATCAATGTATTTGTGTTTGTGTTTGTTACATGCTGTAATTTGTTAACAAAGATTGGTCCTATGCTACCTGGTCTGCATTTCTCTTAACATCACTAAATCATGGTTTATAACATCCGTTACGGTTCCTGGAAGGCATTATATGTCGCCAAGTCAAAGATTAATGATTGTTTTAACTATTTAGACCAATCTGGAGGCTGTCAGATAATTACTGCATGATAGTAATTCACTTTCATATTATACCTTACGTTATTGTATTCATTCCATTTTCATCACTGATCCTAGAGTGTTGGATATAAATATTTATAGTTCATTGTTGATGTCAGTTATAAATTGAAGACATATAATCATATCTGGCTGTTGTTCATGTAAACATTTTATCATCTGTTATATTTTTTGCATGTTAGTTTTGCTTATAAGTTAAAATAATTATCATTTTCATGGGCATTTGTGAATTGATATGTGTAATTCTGTCCGACTATAACTGCATTCACAGAAATCGTTCCGTTTGATTGCACTACTTGTTGTTTAGATAAAAGGGTTTGATTAGGTGTGGAGGTACAATGATTTGTGTAATTTGACATAATGTCACAATGTTTCATCCCTGAAAACTTCCTTTTTAGTCCCATATAAATTGTTTCCTCTAAGCTTCTACAGACCTTGCTGTTCATATCAAATACTAAATACTTTGGTTCAGTTTAGAGAAAATATTTTTAAGTTGTATTTATATAATTTATGTTGAATGTGAAAATGGATGATTATCTTGTTAATTTGGATGTCGTTATTTGGGTTTTTAGAAGGTTTTTGTTTATTTATTCAATGTTTCTTGCTTTTATCTTCTATATCATTGCTTCCATTTCTGATGTAAAATTGCCCATTCAAGATCATGCACACTCACAGTTTCCCCACAATTCGTTTTAATTGTCCAAGCTTTTTCTCATCTGTTTGTAAGTTATGCAGAGTTTTAGGACTCTGATCGACAGAGGAATTGGTTACTTTATTCGTGGTCACTCCGGAGTTGACCCTTTACCAGGTAATCTGAACTGAATTTGTAGTCTATGCTCTCTTCTTTTTTTCAGAATGAATGGTTGTTTTCTCATCCCTCAGGTTGTCACGAGCAGAGGTGGATATCTTTTTAATGGATTTTGTTTCAAAATCTCAATTTTATGTAGAAATCTTTAATTTAGTACCAAAGAAAAAATGCATTAATTTCACTATATCAAGATATACATATATAATCATGTCTCGTTATCCACTTCCAAACATGATTTGAAATCATTTAACAATGGCATTTTACAATGGCATAATCCTTATAAAAAAAGTGGCTGTTTAAGTTCTATTACTTTTTGTAGGATTTAGAATGGTGTCAGAGTTGCACAATCCTTACAAAATGTTGAGCACTAAAATTATGTAAGTGCCAAATATCACAACGGGCCTGTTTGCAGTACTAGTGCAAATTTCAACAGAAAAGACAGAATACCGAACAGATAACAAACCTGTTGATGTAATTCAAACTGCAAAAATATAGAGATGTTAGAGAGATGTAAGAGAGATATGGTAGTTACATGATTATGGTGATGGTGTGTCGTCAGTATGTTGTAATGTAATCATGGTGAGGATGTGGCTGTTGTAACTCTGTTAAATATGAAACAATAAGGTGTAAAAACAAATCGTACTGATATTTACAATTCAGGTTTTGAAAAAAAAAAAAAAAAAGTGAAACTAAGAAAATTTAACATTATTCAAAATACGAGAAATATGTGTGCCAACTTTTTTTTTTAGTTAAACTAGAGTTAAACTTTAAGTGAACTATCAAAATGAAAGTGGCATTGCCAAAGAAATACAAAATACTTTCTATAAAAGAATATTTAAAAAAAAAAAACATTTGTAGGAATCTCCAATAACACACAGCCTTTACGTGCTATCCTGATCATAGAAAGTCTTATATTTTATGTGTTTACGATCCTTTTTTCGTCAGTTAGATCATTTTAGGAATTTCTCCAGTACGGAGGTTTGTAGCTTTATGTGCCTTAATTTTGCGTTGTTATAGTGCTGCATGTAATGCCGTCTGTGCATGTACCACCGAAATATTCAGTCGGCCTGTAATGTGAAGTGAGGCACACACACATAACGTAGAATATTCACAAGGAGGCCAATTGATGCATGTATGTTTTTGTGTTATAGCTATGCATATCATGTCTTTATTTTCATTATTACTTTTTGTTTTACATTTGTGTCCATTTAGATTTAAGTTTATAACATAAGAAACATGCTTTTTGTACCTTCTGTTTCGTACAATATTTTTTTTAGTTTATAACAAAGAGAAAATGAACTTAAACTCTTGAATTGCATTTTACCTAAGAAAATTTTATTTTCACATATTTAAATGTTGAAATCTTTAATTTATAAGCCTACTCAATAGAGTCTATTGGTAAATGAAGTACAGTATGCTTTGTAATAGACATCTATAAACCCATCAAGTATGCTCGCTATGTTATACATATATATATTTCATATAAATTTTATATTCTTATGTCATTATTTTCATTTTATTCTGGATATTATGAAATTATTGAAACTTTAAAATTTTGAACTGAATCGTCTACTAGCTGTTAGTTGCAATAAGCCATGCAATATTAAAGTTTGTTTCTTATACCTAGTATTCAGACCGACAAAGCACATAATTTTTACGTAGCAGGCTATTTTCGTATTCTGACTTGGTAAATATGTAGCAGGCTATTTTCGTATTCTGACTTGGTAAATTTAGTATTTTCTTTAGGTTAAAAATGATTATAGATTTATTCTGCTGTGGTTACAAAATGTAAGTTTGTAAATAGTAAATCTTTGACTTCAATAATAGATATCACACTTCTGGAAGGAAACGGTGATTCTTAGAAGTGATGTTTATAGAAACAGTGATTCGTATTCAGGGATACTTGTTATGTACTTGAGGGTGAACTTTCGCTCTTTAAGTAATCATTACATGGGTAGTTATAAAATGTCTACAAATTTATGAACAGAATATTTTTGTGTTATTTGTTGATAATAAATTGTTATAGAATATCTATACTCTAGCAAATAAATGTAAATATTTTATTCACTTTTCCTAA